TGCCTGCTCGAGCAGAGACATGGCGGCGGCCAGTCGCCCAGCTTGCAATCGTCTATACTTCGTGTCACCCTAGCATGGGCTAACCGCGAAGGCTGTGCTAGCGCGAGCGGCCAGCCTTGACTGCCTTGACTAGAGCACTTGCTGCACGAGAGCGCTCGTGCAGCCGCCGCGGCTTCATTCAAAGCGACTAGCTCGCGCTTTTACCACGCGCGGCTACCAATAGTCCATACTGAGGTGAGACGAAGTATAGTTCACTTTCCGCACACTGAAAAGCATGGCAAAGAAGCCCAAGCACGTGCCTATACTCCGTTCACCGTTAAGCTGAGACTAGAAGCTCCGCCTTCAGGGCGAGCTCGCTGGCTTCCGCAGTGCTTTGGTTGCTCGTGCCTGCTCGCTGACACTTGTGTTAGCAAGGACAGAAAGCTTTTAAAGGACCGTTCACACTCTTGGAACCGAGTACGACCGAGAGAGACCAGACCGGTTTTAAACCTCTTGCGATCTCTTAGGACCAGCGCCGCTGCAGCGCATCCGTCCCTAAGAAGTCGCAAAAGGCTTAATAACCGGTCTGGTCTCTCTCGGTCTTACTCGGTCGCAAGAGTGTGAACGGCGCTTAATGTTGAAAGAATCGCCAGTTCGCATTTTTTATATTGTTTATACAAGCCCAGGGCTGTGTTCCAAATCCTACCCAAATGGATCCGAGTTACTCCGGCGGGTCAAGTCACGTGACAACACAGATTGAAAAGCGCTGAACGCGAGTAAGTTTTGGAACGCCAAGGTACCAAACCCTTACCCTGGAGTAGGATCGAGTAGATTTTGGAACACGGCCCAAGTGACCAAAAACACGTCACCTTTCCCCAAAAACCGGCTATTCTGCTGCGTAATTGCGAGGCAAAAAACTAATTATTTGCCGATCTGCAGCCGCCGGTGGCGGCTACGGGAACTAAAATGGCGGCGTCTCTGGGGGATACGCGGAAGTCAACAAACCCTGTCCCCCTCCGCTGCTACACTCGCCGTCAGCCCCGTGGCGAACCGACCTTTGCGTTCATCGGTCGCTGCGACCTTCGACGAGGCTAATCCTTGGAAAGTCGACAATCGCGGAGGAAGCGACTGCGGTCTCTGAAGAGAGGGCCCAAGGGGAAACCACGTGAACCCCCAGAGACGTCACTCGAAAGTCGGCGTGGAGAGTTGAGAGGCACTTCGACCTTCGATTTGTTTCATTCCTTTTTTTTTTTTTTTTTTTAATAAGAACTAGCGCTTGCAAGAAACTCCGGCTTTCGGTTTTTCGTTCCATAGGTGACGCAGATTAATTTCCGCAGTTAATTGGCCAAAGTGTGAAAATCGTTGCACTGCCCCTTTAAAGGGATACTTCAACGAAATTTGAAATATTCCCGTCGTGTTCAAAAATAGGTTGAATATGATCCACAATATCCGTAAATGACAATCGCACGTTTGTATTTTGATCCTGGTGTCTGTATTTTTCGTTATAAACGGCCCACTCTGGCAAGCGCTCGGAGAAGGCCCAGCGGAGACCACGTGACATCCAACGCAATCGTGACGTATAGGTCGTCTCAGGACGAGCAAAGCTACGGCGAGGCTAACGCCGAGAGGATGGCCTAGTCGTTCCAGCCACCGAAGCGGCTGCTTTTGTACGAATATTGAGTGGCGGGTTAATCTTCTATAATCTTCTAGGGGGACAATAGCGACCTCTGCGACACACAAAAGGGATTCTCGGGAAGAGGGGAGTTCCTCCTTCCCCCCTTCTCTCGTCGTGGCCGAAGACGAGACAACCTCCGTCACTAGCTGTCAAGGTTCCTAGACGAGCATTACAAACGAGGCGTCAGCGACATCCACCAGGTGCTCTTTGCTAATCGTTTAATTCGTTTTAAAATTCCTTTTCGAGACTTTTTTAACAAGATATTGGTATGTTCCATGCGATACTGCTCTTTTGAACGCATATAGACCAAAAAAATGAGCACTGAAATTTTGTTGTAGTACCCCTTTAAAGGCCTGTTCACACATACAGCGGAGCGCTAAGTTAGCGCTACGTGAGCGCTCATGTGGCGCTTCCTGGCGCGTGATTTAGTTCTAACACAGCGGGCGATTAGCGCTTCTGTAGCGCTTTGTTAGCGCTCCAGTAGCGCCTTGTTAGCGTTTCAGTAGCGCCATGTTAGCGCTTTAAGCGCGAAACACATGTACGACGAAACCGTCCGATCCGACGTCCGACCGCGCAATACGACGGTCGGAGGCGAGGGTTTTCAACGCTCTCCGATGCTACGAAAACCCTCTCCCCCAAGGTCATTCCGGCAGTCCGCACGTCGGATCGGAAAGTTTCGTCGTACATGTGTTTCGCTCTTTAAAGCGCTTCTTGTACCGCGGTGCTGTGGATTAGCGCGTGCACTGCGGGTCCGGTTCCTGTGTTTGGGTGTGAATCAGCAGCACCATGGCGGACATGTGGGATGCTGAAATAGAAATGCGACCAATGCTCTTACATCGCGATTAGTGCATATGTGTGTGGACGGCTTAACGCCCAGAAGAGCCTTCTGGGTGCGCAACATCTTTCGCCACCGAGATACCGACAGGTATACCTAGCGAACCTTGTTCCTATGCTGAGGGACCGAGACACAGAGCTCTTTCGAAGGCGGTTATTTTTAACTACGTGTCTTTGAAACCAGGGTCACGCATATCAAATAGAAAGCGATGAGGTCGTACCCAATCAATTAGTCGCTCAAAGTCTATGACTCTGGGTCGCCTGCCCGACCCTTTGCTTGGAGAGCGGCTGTTTTACTTCCTCTTCTTTTAATGCCAAAGGAAAAACAACAACAAAGGAATCGCCGTGCACGCGCTGTTCCGCAGCAGCAAGCACGGCACAAGGAGCGTGGATGAGAGCGCTAACAGAGCGCTTCTGTAGCGCTAACAGAGCGCTAACAAAGCGCTTCTGTAGCGCTAACAAAGCGCTTCTGAAGCGCTAACAGAGCGCTACTGAAGCGCTAACAGAGCGCTACTGAAGCGCTAACCGAGCGCTACATCACGCGCTAGGAAGCGCCACATGAGCGCTCCTTGGAGCGCTCGCGTAGCGCTAACTTGGCGCTCCGCTGCATGTGTGAACCGGCCTTAAACGGAGTGTAATCTCGCCACAGCGCACGATAGAGTAAGTCTGCTGTGGTCCCCGTCAACATATCTACGAAGCGTTTGCTGGATAGACGCACACTCGAACGCACTCTGAACTCGGCGGCGCGACTTTCCGAATACCGCCAGCGGTGCGTGCGGTCACCCCTCGCTCCGCTCCGCCGAGGGAAACGGCCCTTTTTCGTGCCCTCTCTCGATTTCTTTAATGCCTTACTTTTGAATGCTGATTGAGCTAAGAAGCTCGTGTGAATGGGACTAAAAGACGTTCTGGAAGTTCCGTAAAGAATAACGACAAAAAGCAAAAAAAAAGATATGTGTTTGTTTTGCATTTTTGTCTGTTGCCAGTCAGTGACAACCTCACCAGCAACCCGTCGGGTCACCCAACCTGAAATGTAGAAACCGTCAGATCATCAACAGAGAGTTAAAGCAACAATCCTATCAGTCCACCAAACCATCGAGTCTCAAGAAACATGTGTCTGGGATTTTTCGCTGCACATTGAAACGTCGTCCGATGCCCGCTGAGGACGGGGTGGGGAACGGGTTGTTGCGGCATCGTGGGGTATACCCTGGCGACGCCCGGTATGTTTACGCAGGGGCGTCGTTGGTTGGGCGCCGTGCCATAAACGCGCCTTGTCGACAAGAGGGGGTTCCGGCCCGCGATCGGTGTACGCGTCGTCGCGGCGTCCAATCCCGCCTCTAGGAGGCAAGGCCTGCGCGAGACGTTGTCGTTAGGGGATTCAACGAGTGCGCGGCTATGGTGTACTAGAAGACCAGTTCTGGTACACCATAGCGCGGCCAACGGGAGACGCGCGTCTTTGGCCTTGCCGAACATTGCAGGAGCCAGTGACAAAAGCGCCCAGTGCGCATACACTATTGGCTCTCCTTCCCCCCCAACCTCTATCACAACGCTTCTCTCTCTCTCTCTCCCATTCTGAGACACTGCAGGTCGCGCGTGCGGCGACATAGACTGCAGCTCAGCAGGCGTCTATGTGGAAGGACGTGCAAATGCCCCCACACTCGTGGCGGTGTGCGGAGTAAAGCTCCGCACGCAGATGTAATTGTAACGATTACCTTTTTTTCCAATTTGGAACGTACCGGTTACACTTTTTTTTTTTTTTTTTAACGAGTTTGTTTGCAGTTGGGAGAATAGCTTTGAGGGTCGAACCCTGTTTTTTTTAACGCGTTTGTTTGCAGTTTGGAGACTAGCTTTGAGGGTTGAACCCTGTAAGCAACCCTGAGACGAGACTCTGGCGCTGTCAAAACACTCTGGTCGTGGCGGGAGATGCGGGCTCGCAGCTTTGTTTCATATGGAAACGTGAAAAAAAAAACGAGCGTAATTTGTGAAACGATGAGGGCGAGGGAAGCGCACAGCCTCCTGAAGATAAGTTTTTCGACGTCCCACCGGAGGGCCGCGGGGTTATGAGCTTGATTCTTTCGGACAGGGGGCGCGTACGCAAGATGCGATGACAAGAGAGACGCCTCCGCTAGCGGCCGTTCAGTGTTGGCAAGAAGCGTATACACGCGTCTTTCGGCGTCTTGTTCACGCATGCTAACAGTAGCTGCGTTCCATTTATCTGCATCCTCCTGCGCCGGTGCAAAAAGCGTGTAGGGCAGTGTACTTTTGGTATGTGGATTTAGACACGACCGGAACTGCTTGTCTGCTCCGGCGCAGGAGGAACAAGTAGATCGAACGTAGCTAGTGTGTGTCAAAAAGCTTACGCGCTGTAAACTTACTGCTTTCTTTTTTTTTTTAATTTATATTCTTGTCGGCGAGCGTGGTGACGCCCAATCGAAACGCTACCTAAAATTTTTTTCTTGCCAGCACCACTTGTCAAGACTTGAGAAGTCTACAGCCTGTCTTTGTCCTCTGGCAGGAGGTGTTGGGACGCCGTCATGGGGCCGAGCAGCGCCTTGGGGAAGGCGGCGGGCGCGCTATGAACCAGAGGCCGGGCCCCGGGCGCAAGCGCAAGCTGCACCCCGACGTGGCCTCGGTGCTGGAGGCCTCCAAGAGGGTGCGCGTCAAGCGGGAGGCAAGGCAGACGGACCACCGCGCGCCGCACGCCGCCGTGGGCCGCCCCAGGGAGAAGAAGGCGCCCGCTGCCACACCAGCCAAGAAGCCCGCCAAGGCAGTAAGTGACTGGGTGTTTGCTTTGGTGCCATGGGCGTCCGATTGTCTCCGCTGTAGGTGAGAAGTGTAGCCAGTGCAGCACCGCCGCTGCATGACTACGGTGTTGCCAGGACTGAACTGGGACCACGTGCCGGTACCACCTAAAAGACAAGGTTACAAGGCCTGCCAGCGCGCTCGAGACGCTCCCTGTGAGACGCGCTGACCAATATCGCGGCGAGAAGTTTCGCTGTCAATTATTATTATTATTATCTAGCGGAAGCGCGGCGCAACCCAAAGTGAGGACGCCGCTGTTGCTTCCCAGAGCTGAATGGACTTTTGTTCAGCCTCACTGTCCCGCTAGTAACTTCTGATTTTGTCGTTTGTTTATTTCTTTTGTAACATGCTTTTGCATTCGATGAGGGACGATTACAAATTCTGCGTCTGTCAGGTCTTCATCCCAGGCTTCCATTCTACCAACTGGAGTGTTCTTATTTTTATTTTTTTATTTTTTTGGTCGTGGGAAAGAAAGCATTGTGAAGACGCTTATCCTCATTAATATCTTAAATTCACATATTTTTTTCTTTACTTTAATTGATCGTTTCAGAAATATTGCCTGTCCTATTGGTGCTCTGGTGTCAAATGGTGGAAGCGCTATTGCGCCATTGTGCGCCACTCCACTTTCGCTGCGCCATCCTGCTCCCAAGCGCACATGTTGCGCCAAAACTAACCAACAAGTTTTTTTTTGTTTTTTTTTATTGGCGATATTTATTGGCGTATTTTTCTTTATTGGCCACATCGGTTTACTGTGTTGTGTTCGTTTAGGTAATTCTGAACCAATGGGGACTTTTAGCAAACCGTCACCGTGTACCGCGCACCAGGGCCGTACCCAGAAAAAAAATTTCGGGGGGGGGGGGGGGGGGGGGGTTTCGGGGACAACGGTGGCCATTTTGAAAATGTCTATTGTCTTATTTTCGCCTATGAATCATGTGCATCGGTGGCATATAATGGAGAGTTATAGCAAACCGGAGAACCGGTCCCGGTTTGGTACCCGGTAGCCGACCGGCGCCACTGCGCGTGCGCAGAGGTGGAGATTAAAATCGGCTGGCTGCAAGTGCACTGACCAGGGCCGTACACAGAAAAAAATTTCGGGGGGGGGGGGGGTCAGAGCCCCCTACCCCCCCCCTGGTTACGGCCCTGCCGCGCACTACCGAAAGCTTTGTAGAATGCTTCTAAGCGTGCGCCCGAATGATACGGTGACCGCGTGGCACGCGCTTGAAAGCAGGCTTCAAAGGCTCCGGTAGTGGGGAACACGGTTTGCTAAAGGGCCCTAATGAAACCACCATACCGATGTGGTCGTGTCAAGGGCGTGTAAGTCTGATCTCCGAAAATGGCACATGCACAGGTCGCTTTGTCAGAGTACTCATCAGAACTCTGGCAAACTATGCTTCGATGCATCGTTTCGTCATTTACCTAATCTTTTTTTTTTTTTTTTGCACAGTGGCACTGAGCATGACTGAGTGTATTCGAAATACCATACACATGCATTAAATCGCCGTAAAGTCTCGTACCGCCGCAAAAGTTCACACATATCAGAATTTTTTTTGTTTTTTTCTTAAATAGCATTTATTGCGTGATCTGGGGTATCGGTATGCGACAAGCGTGCTCGCCGCGGGTTCCCTCGTGCTTATCGCACCGTGACACGCGAATTTGCAGCATCCGTACTATGCGGGATATCCCTTCCCACGACATGCAAATTCCAAATTCGTTCCCGCATTTTCTTTTTTATTTTTGCGCTTGATATTGGTTCCTGTGACACCCGAGTTTGTGACCTGTGACACCCGGGTTCTTGCGTCTATATCGCACTGTGAAGCGCGAATCGCTGCGTCCGCGTTCTGCTGCCGTACTCGTGACTGGGGAGTTCATAGCGAATTCCCACATACTTACTGCACACGCGAGTTCGCCGTGTCTGCGATATGTATCAGTAACGAAAAGACAGTGAGTGCGCAGGCGAGCTGGTGATAGTTAATCAGGATGTTTAAAACCCGAGACTGTGGTGAGGGAAAAGTTAGGAAACTTTGAAGTTGAAGAGGTGTCGTTTCACATAGTTGTAGTGAAATCCTGCGCACGAAGCCCATGGCGTCACGGGTCATTCCGGAATGACCATCTCGGTGGTGAAGGCGAAGCCGCTCCACTTCTTTTCCACGCGCCCGAAATGCCAGAGAGATAAAACAAGTGGAAAGGAGGTGCCTGACGACTAAATCGTGTCTCGCGCCGTCAATGTTGCTCTAAAAGATGTATTTTCACGTAAATTTATTTTTTTGACACGCCTGTCCCAACCAGATTGTTAAAAGAACTTTTTTTTTTTTGCAGTGGCCTTTTAATAATATTGTCAGCAGTGCCACGTTTATTATTTTAGTAATTACAGCAAAGAAGTGAATTTTCCGAGCATAGAAAGTGTGGATGACTGAGTCTTTACAGAGATTTAATGCAAAAATAAATGCTGCATTCTGAAGAGTCATACTATTTGAAACCTGCTGCAGGCCTCTGCTCTTGCTGTAGCACCAGTGTGGCAGATTTGCCTCTCTTTGAATGGGAAGCTAGTTAAGTAATCGTTATCCGAATTAATATATGGCTCACTGGTCTGCCTCCACAAGGGGGGGCACACTAAACCAAAAAACATTGTGGATCCAACTGAGTATATTCCTTCCTTCTTGAATTAGGGACCATTTTGCTGTATGTTTCCTCGGTGTTATGGCTTCAATATTGTTCAAGAATCGCTCCACTCTTGAACCATCAGCACCTTTGGATAAAGAAGTAATTATGGGTGGCCTCCTGTTCTACTTCATGCTGAAGGCAGAATCAGTTTGGTGTATGGTTCTTTGGCAGTGGGAACCACTGGGGCCCTCATTCTCTGTGAGAAACCAATTCAGAACATGTGTCACTCCGTTGCTAAATGGAGAGTTTGCTCAATGTATCATTCTCCGGGGAAGGGAACCACTTCTATTGTCTTTAGTCTGACTGATGAACCAGTTCAGAGCTACTTCATTTCCCCTCCCTGATAAACTGAGGGTAAGCACCTCGTATTAATTATCGTTAATTAATAGGGATAATCGCCTAACTGTAAGAAGATAAATCAGTGTGTCCAGCAACACACACTGTGTCTCCCAACTTCATCTGTTGTATCAAGCTGCATTTTATATTTGGGAGCAACTTTCCCTGGTATTTAAGAAGTGAAGTGTGCACAGCTTTCATCGGCACTCAAGACGCACGGGTGCACCAATTTTCTACAAACTTCCAAGATATTCTATCTCAGAGGTTCATTTGGCATTGTGAAGTCACTGTACTTTATTATCCATTGTTTAGCAATATATAAATGTGCATAATAATTTTATAAATCAATCATGCTTTATCACATTTGAAAAAAAAAAAATAAATAAATAAAATGTTATCTGTCTGTGCAGCTGAGTACATTGTGTATAAGGAGGATGTGTATACAAAAATGGTGTCTTGTTTTAGGGGAAATTTTACCTATTGTACTTCAATCATTCACTCCTGCTTTGGCCCCAATGGGATGGCAGTAATACTAAATAATTTAAGTAATCAATTAATAAGTTGCTCGGGCCAGTGTTTGGCAAGAATCGATTTATTCGCTTCCTATTCAGACGGTCCTGCCTTCCACTCTTGTTGCAGCCCAAGCCAAAGCGTCCCAAGTCGCCCGCGCAGCCGGCACCCCAGCCGGCCCCCGCGGCCAGGCACAACGGGGAGCGGGCGCGCAAGCGAGGCCGTGCCCCGGGCATCCTGGGCCTGTGCGACTCGTTCTCGTCCAAGTGCGACCTGCGGGGCAGCAAGGGCACCCCCGCCCCCCCTCCTGGCCCCAACCTGCGCCCCAAGTTGCCCGCCTTCCTGGCGACTATGGCCGCCATGGAGGAGTGGCCCACGGCCAGGGTGCAGCGGGTGGCCAGCCTCAACGCCATGGCCAAGGTGGGTCGGAGGTTTAAGACGGGAGCAGAACGCGGCAGATAGTAAGCGCTCACGTCGAAAGAAAAACAAAGAATGACAGACAAGCGGAGAAGGGAAGATGAAGATAGGTTAGGCAAGTTCATTTTGTCGCGACGAGTTGGAGGCATTTGAGCGCTCGTCAACTTTATTTATTTCTGTGCATTGTGTGACGCCGGTTTTTCTGCTTAAAATAAAGCTGAAAAAACACGAGATAGAGACCTTGCAAGTGATATTTTTCAGCTTTTTTCCGTATGTCAAAGCGTCGCCAGCAATATGGTCCCATCACGACTACCAACATTTGTGTCTATGCCCCCCCGTTCTGAAGTGGCCAAAATGTGTGGGACATGTCCCTCTAGAATATTTTATTAACCTGTAGAAGCTGTCCCCAATTGATACGCTCCTTCTTTTTATGCGTGCCACAACTAGGTGCACATCCTGTACGAAAACGAGAGCCGTCCCGTCATCACGGAGGTGGACGACTCGGCGACCGAAGACTGCAAAGCCCTGGTTTCCGTGGGAGCGCCCCTTTTGCCCTCCGTCCTCCCTCCGCCGACACCTGTAAAGCGACGCGTGCCGCCGCCGGCCAAGTCCTCCAGGCGGGTGGTGGTCAAGCGCAAGCGGGACGTCCTCAACTCGGACGACGTGGAGATCATTGACACCCGGCAGTGCCGCCGCATGGCCAGCCTCAACGCGCAGGCCATCATGGCCGCCAGCTACAGCCGCGAGCGGAACCGCAAGTTCGACAAAGACTCCACCTCTTCCTCCTCGTCGTCGACCTCTTCCGCCTCTTGCGAGGTCAAGGTGGTCCACCACCAGGAGGAGATCGTCGTCTGCTCGGTCCAGACCAAGACCGTCCGGAAGGTCCAGGAGAAGGCCGACGCCCTCGCGGTCTCCAAGAAGGGAGAGGGCACGGTGGTGCAGCCGTGCCGGCGGCCCCGCAAGGGTGAGGGCATCAAGGGTGCGCCCTCGTCGTCCTCGGTGGCGGTGAGCGAGTACAGGGAGGTGGTGCACATCAACACCACCAAGGAGATGGCAGTCAAGGACGAGCTGCGGGAGAAGGAGGGAGTCACGCACCTGTACCACTACCACACCAAAGCCACCTGCCTACAAATGCAGACGACGTACAGCGGGGCCCCCCCCACCAGCCCCGCCCCGCACCCCGCGGTGCTGGGCCCCCAGGGGTACTATGCCGGGCCGGCATATCCTCCGCCGCTCACGGGCCCGGCGGCGCTGATGCCGCCTCCTCCGCCGCCCCCCGTGACCACGGCACCGGCCGCGGGTTATGGCGTCAACCACGGGATGGTGGTCAGCGTGGCCCCGGTGCACTACGGCAGTGCCCTCACGGTTCCGCACTATGGGCACGCCATGCCGTATGCGCCTGCTGCGGAGTACGGTGAGTGGTGTGGGACTTCTGTTTTTATGCCTCTGCTGATGGGGTTGGGACAGGCCCGCAAATAGAGGATGCGTTGTAAGGCAAGGTCAGTGACAGTTCATTTCATTTATTTCACCCTCAAAGGACTGGTTAGGACATTACATAAAGGGGGGGGGGGGGGGGGGGGGGGGCCAATATATCAGTCAGTGCAAGTGTGACACAGTACAGTAATAAAATATACAAAAATAAATATGGCAGAAGTTATATGTGTGCTCAATTTAAATGGAGGATAGCAACTGGTTCCATTTGGCAAGGACGTAAGGAAGGAATGATTCGTTAAGTGCATTCGTTTTACCAGAGATTTGTTTAATTGGACAAGAGGTTTTCGTGTGGGATGACATACTACCGGAGGGTGAGAGGAGGGCGCTTTCTAGTTTTGGGCAATGGTAGTGAAAAAACATTAGTAGTGACGAATTTACCTTCCATTCATGCTTTCTCGTTACCCCCTAACATGCAGTCAGTTCACATTTCACTGCCATGCCTGAAAGCCGTGGGAAAGAAAGTGGTACAACCTAAACCAAGGCTACAGTGACCACAGTGAAGGACACATGACCAAAATGCATCCAAACTCTTGCCAGCGTACATTCAGTCTGTTATCTGTCACTTTCACGTCTCCGCATGCGTAGTGGGTTAGTATTTCTTTTCGTCTGCTGTGCCACATAACGGGTCCAAACAAAATGTAGAGGTTGCAATCCCACAAATACGTTGTGAAGCACGACCTACCGATATTAAAGGAGTTGTGAAACGCTTTTCTAACCTTTTGCTGTTTAGCTTTCCTCCTCAACTCATAAATCGCGCATTCTACCAAACAGTTCAAGAAGACGGAAAGGGGGAGTCCCCTTTTGCTCGGACCCTCGTTCGTGTAGCCGGACACATCCATTCTCTCCCTAGAAGGTTAGCCCGTCGCTCAAAATTCAGACTAAAGTTGCTTTCCCCACCCCTTTCACCCCGAAGCTGACAGTGCTGTCGAAGCTACGTACTCCTTGGGCCAGCCACACTTTTGCCATGTGATCACGCTCTCTCGCGCATACCCATTCGCAGAGAATGAGGTCAGGTGATGAAAGGAAGGTGGCTGATTGGTCCGGCAAGCGCGTAGCTTCCACCACAATGTTAGCTTAAAGGTGAAGGGAGTAAGTGAGGTCTGGGTGTCGTTTGGTGTGCGTTTGGGCCCGGTGACGCGCTGCGGGCTGCGGGGACCGCGGATGTATCACAGTGAAAAGGCAGAGAGCTTACGAAGGGAAGCAGGCATGAAATAGTCCGCCGTGTGTTCAAATTTTCGTAGCGAAACTCAGGCTTTTGACTTTCTGCCTTTTTTCTTTTGGCCCCCTGAACGATGTGCTATTAATAAAATCCGAATATAAATTGATTTATTCCAGCCCAAAATTTGTTTCATGGGCCTTTTAAATGAACATGCGATGTGTTTTCGGTCGGTGCACTCGGTTCCAGTTCCCTTCCTCATTGCCAGATACATGGTATTCTGGTGACACCAAGGAAGGTGACAATTGCCCCATTTGAACCAAGAGATTTATTTGTTCCGTTATCATTACAGGGCCCGGAACACGTCTACAACTGGTGTGCTTACCAGTGTTGCCAGATTGGGCTATATATAGCCAAATTGGGCTACATTTTTTTCTAGTTGGCGTCAAAATTTCGTGGTTGGCTATATGGCTATTTTTGGGCTATTCCTAAGGGTGCGGCGAACTCTTGTCGAACCTCAGGTTCGACGTCGAACTTTGAGGTTCGACTAGTTAATTTTCGAACTTCTAATCAGTTTCGAAAAAATTGTTTCTCTTTTGGCTAGTCGAGAGAAGAAAGGGGAATGAGAATGGCTTCAAACTTCTACAAACTTCGGGGGTTTTCACAATGCGCAGAAAAGCAGTGCTAGCAGAGTTCAAGCGGTCTCCCACCAACGCAGTGGAACAAATCAAACAAACAGATTGCACTATTACCACAGGCCCGGTACCGCGTCTTCTACCCGGACGTAGACTCAACTCTCCAAGCGCAGCTTTGGTGCTCATTGTAAAAATTCTTAGGCATCGGCCATTTAAGAAAGGAAACACAATCAAAAATAGCGCGAACCGGAACGGGGGACGTTCATATTCTACGCAATTAAAAATAGACGGGTGGGTTATTGGTAAGAACCTTAGATATAGGAGGTTCTGGCTTGAAACTCCCAGTTCTGATTGTTCTGCATTCTGGGGGGGGGGAAGGGGGGGGCTTCACATTACAGCTGTCCATGTATGTTTTCTACTTCTGAAAACCTACGAAGGATGGGTCATTGTTTCACACATTTTCAATCTCCTGAAGCTTTTTTTTTTTTTCTCTTTTTTTTTTTATCAGGGGACTTAATGTACACAGAAAGTGGCACATCTGAGGGTTGACAAAGGTAATGTAACATGTTGTTTTTTACGACTATGAAAAATTGGCAATAAAAGGCTTAAAATAGTTGATTTTAGTCTTGGCTATTTTGGGCTATATTTATTTTATGGCTTTGGCTATATTTGGGCTATACCTCCCAGCCGTTTGGCGGTTTTTTGGTGGGACCATCTGGCAACACTGGTGCTTACCGCGTCCAAAAACCTGGTTTCTCGATTTCCGCGTGATGACCTCGTAGAAGTGTTACGCCGTCGTCACCTGCGATCTTGGTGGTATCACGGCAGTGGGGGTGGATGTGGCAGACGCCTGTTGTGCCGCAACGACAGCGACACTCATTTTGTTCGGTCATGCTTTTTGCCGGGACTTCTATGACCAATCACGAAGATCGCGACATCCAACAGTATGACACTCTGGCTTTTCTGATGTCATTCGTTGCATTTTGGAACCATTTTCGATGCATGGGCGGAATAGGACACTAAACACGACGTAGCTAGAGCTCTTTGAGTCTTCTCACAGAGTTGCCAGGTGAGATGACGGTTGACCAAGTGTCTGGAACGTTAACAAGAACACGACGCTTTCCATCCACAGTGCCCGGCTACTACCAGCCCGCGGGCCCGCTGATCCAGTCCAGCCACGGCCAGTGCCTGATCCACAAGCCGGTGCCGTACCACCCCCAGCACCGGCCGGGCCCCGTGAGCCCCTCCCCCGCGGCCTACCCCCCTTGCCCCTCCCCCCTGTGCCCCCAGGCCTCCTCCCGCTGCTACTCCGAGCACCTCCCATGCAGCCCTCCCCCGCAGCAGGGCGCCGGTGCCGCGGCCCCCCCGGCGTACCCCCCGTACCAGCCGGGGCCCTTCCACCCCCAGCCGTCCCCGTTCCAGCAGCCGCAACCGCAGCCTCCCGGCGGTGGCGGTGCGGCGGCAACGCAGCAGCCACCCTCGCCGGCGGATTCTGGCAGCTCGTTCCAGATGGCGGCGGCGTCCGCAGCCGTCCCCAAGTCGGAGCCGGTGACCCCGCCGGAGACGAAGTCGCCCCCACAGGGGAACGAGTTTGCGGACGCGTCGAAGGGCACCGAGACGGGCAAGGACGCCACGGTGGACGGCACGACGGCAGCGTTTCAGCCGGAGGCAGCATTGTCCGTCGTGGAGCCACTGGCTAAGAAGGCGCCACGCGCAGTAGAAAAGCCGGCGAAGCCGCCCGCGGCCCAGCGGAAGGTGGGGCGAATGCTCTCGTCGGACAACCGGACGGCGGAGCGCAAGGCAGTAAAGAAAAATGGTCAGACCAGGCCGCCGGGCGAGGCGGAGAAGGCGCCTCCGCAGCCGAAGAACGGCGTCAAGAAGGCGCTGCCCAACCTTTTGTCGACCGTCTGTCTCGCGGAGAAGAGGGTTGCGAAGACAACGGAGCAGCAGTCGCCGGCCTCCGCTGTTGAGGCGCCGTCTCCTGTGTGTGGAGCTTCCGCGGTGCAGCAGGGACAGAGGAAGGGTGTGGTGGTGGTGGTGTCGAACGATGTACGGGACGACGTGGACGCGGCCGTGCCACCGGCTCCTTCCAAGCCGCGGAAGGAGAATGGCACGGCGCAGTTGGTTTCGACGAAAAAGACGCCAGTGCCGACAAAGAGTTCCTCGGTGGTGGTGCAGACTAAGGCCCCCGTGGTGTTACCTCCCGCGAGACTACTACTGGCCAAGAGGCCTCCGCGGCGGAAGTTCGCCCACGGCTGGTCTTGGGACGGGGAGCCCTTCCAGAAGGTGGTCGTCATGAACGTGAGTGCCCCGCCTACACATCGTGGCTCCCAGGTCCTTGCCGGGTCTGGACATCACGAGTTTTGTGTCCGAAAGGCGCGGTACTTTTAACGCAGTGTGTTTAAGGGTTGCATTTTATGCGAGAGCGTTACACTCCAGTGAAACGAAAAAGCATTACGCAAGGGCCAAGGCAACATAAAGCATACTTAGCCCATAGTAGACTGCGTATAAGCATTCGGAGCACAGAAAAGCGTACTTGGTCGCAATTAATAACGCAGCATTATATTTAGTAAGTTTTACCAAGGAGCGTAGCAGGTAACAAGCCCTGGACCGTACGATCTGCATTTCAATGCCTTTGCTCGGTGCCACTAGGAGAAGGTGACAGGGAATGCAAGCAGCTGGACTAATCATGACTTAAGGGAGCCTGTGGCAGTAGGCACGCAGCTGGATTCTGAATGATGAAGCTGAGCTCCCCACCTAATGTCACGACATCGTGGGTCTTGAATAAACTTTGACTTTAACATAAGGCTGAATGCAACATATTCAGAACCACCATAGCATTCTGTAACCAAGCACAACAAATTCTAATGCATGCATCTGCGTGCGCGACACATTCTCTGCTCCACGGGTTTGTCAGACTGGTCGAGACAAATTTATTTATTCCGTTCACCCGTGGACGAGGACGTTTTCTGTTCCCTGCCCTTTTACCTCTTGGGGGGGGGGGAGGGGGGGGGGGGTATTGTAGAGGATGAACCTTGGTGTTTGCGAACAGTGCCATGTTTCAAATTATCAAATCTTGTACCTTTTACGGCTTTTATTTCCTACTTCCCCTCCTTTTTAAACCTTCCTTTTAATCTCCCCTTCCCTCTTTCCCAGAACAAAGTAGCCAACTGAAACTCAGGTTAACTAAAAAGACAGTACAGTACATTCCGCGGCCCTCGTAAGACCACAGCGTGAAAGCCCGCTTACCGAAGCTGTCCGATTTTAGTTTTGACAAGAGCATTGATACCTTTCTTGGCATTGCTCAAACATCTGTAATGTTCTAAAAGTATGGCACGTCAAAGAACTGTTTGTTGCACCGAAGTTTATACTTTGTCGCACCGTAAGGTGTACTACAGCCTCGGGACTGCCGGGTCCAATCTCGAGCCAGTGAGAGACCGTGTGATATGTTGCTGCGACGTATGTATCACTTGAGAAAGATGCTACCATGTCGTTTCTCACAGGCTTGGCTTGGACTGTAATTCTTTGTAGGTTAAAGAAGTATGGACAGCAGAAATCTCTGAAGTAGAGTGCTACTGGTTTGACGACTGCAAGCCGCTACAATGCTTGTCCCGACCGAAATGGGCAGGGGTGGGGATTGAACCCGGCAGCCTGCCTGGCCCTTGCTGCTGGATGACGTGCGTGTGTGCTTGCAGAACGAGGACGTACCCCAGTACCGGGTGTGCTTCCCGGCGATGCGCCACGTGGAAGGGGACGTGATCCGGGTGCGTGACTGCGTGCTGCTGCGGTCGGGGCCCCGCAAGATCGACCTACCTTTTGTGGCCAAGGTGGCCGCCCTGTGGGAGAACGCCGACGACGGTATGCCCTCGCCTCGCGGACGTTCGGAAAGTTGTTACAGGAACTCCTAGGCTCGAGCGTTTCGAGGGGCGGCGGTTGTCGCTTAAGAACATTGTTCTCTAAGCGTTAGTGTATTGCCTCGAAATAATTTTAGTGGAGAGTGTTAGAATATGGCATGTGTCAAGACACCACCCAGTTAATTTTTAGTAGCAGGTTTGCATATTTGCTAAGAGAATCGAGCAATGTCGAACCTTCCCCGGTATTTTATGGTATGGGTTAATATATTCTTTTAAAGGGGTCATGAAAAGACAATACATTTCCCCAGCTTTACTTTTCCTGGTATTGTTGGAGTGATCATGCAACATGGGCAGTTGCTATGAGAACTAGATTACATCACGCTAAGTTAGCATGCACGAAGTGCACTTGTAACCTTTTACTTTGCCTTCAAGTAGAATTATATAAAGAACACAGTTGCGTCGTAACTCCATACACCTCTTTGTATCAAGGTGGCAAATAATACAATCTGTCAAGATTAAGATCCTCTTCATGTCGAACAGCGTTGCTTTGGATTTATTTTCAAACATTTATGTTAAGCATGTTAATCCGTCTAAACACAACGAAGCGAACAGCCTCTAGTTTTTTTGTTTTTTTTTTAGGAAGTTTTTAAGTGACTTGTTTTATGTAAAGTTTATGATTTGTGTTCGTTCGAAATTGGGCATCAGTTTAAACCGCCGAAGTTGATTGTGCCGCCACCTCTCAGTTACATTGCACACTGGTCGCGCCACGCTAGGTTTTGCAGGCCATATAGAGTGGATGTGGGCCTGCGTGTTTTCAAGTTTTCAGTGCCTCTTTCTATACCGTAGAATATTGCGCGTCTGCCCATACCACATTAAGTGCCCATTCCCAAATTTGTAAGATCTGACAAAATACGCGCAGTACATTTATATGTGAAATTGATGACCGGACAAGCGCCCATCCCCCATTTTCTCGCGATTATTTCTAAATTTTGAGTGGGCACTTACCCGGTATTTTACGGTATATAGCTTTTGCTAGCTCATCCGCAAACCTTACACATGGAAGCTAAAACTGTTACGCCTGTCTCCTGATGCGATCAATAGACCGATCTCTCCAAGCGTTCCACGCATGCATGACGCCGCCATAACTGTAGTTCGCAGGAGGCAGACGGCAGTTCACGAGTTCAGCTCGTGCTGCCTCGTGCTCTGCTCGCGCAGACCTCCAGCGGGGTTGTTGCGCGTGCAGAAAGACTACAGCTCCCACGATGCATGGCGCCAGCGGTGGCGTACTCAAACTAGCTGGTGAGATCGGTCTAGTATTGCTTTTAGTTTCACGTGCAAGTGAGGCCTCGACTGTAACAAGCATCCTTTCCTTCTTGTGCCCTCCAGGAGAGATGATGATGAGCCTGCTGTGGTACTACAGGCCGGAGCACACGGACCAGGGTCGCAAGTCACACCACATGGAGGACGAGATATTTGCCTCCAAGCACAGGGACGCCAACAGCGTGGCATGCATCGAGGACAAGTGCTACGTGCTCACCTTTGCCGAGTACTGCAGGTAGTCATCCGTGCACTTTCTGCAAGATCCTGAAGAGTCAGAGATCTGAGTTTTGCATTAACTTAAATACAGACAAAACGTTATACAAGGCCCTCTAAAAAAGCATTTCTGATTGCTGCTTTTTTTTTTTTTTTTACACATACTGGCGTCTTAGATGAGCATTTGTTGCGCTATGATAAAGTCTGCAGTTTAACGTAGTAGCAACACAAACATGACACTTCCTGCACATTTTTTCAAGGGGTCACTAGATCATGACCGGTGTCTCTATTCATACCGACCATGTGGCGCTATGAATCGGTGTTCTATCTCTCCGCACAAGATGTCAAAATAAAAATAAATGTCAACATTTTGTTTTTACGAATTATTTTTTTTTGCGCTTGGAAGGGGGTGCAAAGCTGGGAAGTCGACGTCAACGAAACTTAGTCACAACTGACGTCTCTCGCGTCAAATTAACTTCAAAGTTATTTTGAACACAGAAATAAGAAAACAAACGAACCTGCAAGCTCTCACGCATGACGTCGCACCCCTCGACCGCGGCACACCAATGATGCAGCAACCATGATATCGCGTCCCCACGGAGGCACCGTCGGCTCCTTTCATTCTTGTGTGCTTCTTTCCGAAAAAACTCTGTATTTTGCGTTTGAAATGTCCCAGTGGCGCGCCCAGGTTTTCACCGTCTACTTACTTTGCGTGCAATTTCGCATGTGCTACTCTGAGATTACGGGGAGGGGCTGCAAAATTCTACGGTACTCCGAGCTACGGGCATTCACTTCTTGCGCACCCGCCGTTGTAATGCGGCACGAGTGTTTGGGTGTATCTCCAGCTGCCACAAACGGCACATATAAGACGAGTGGACAAGGCACGGCCTCTTTTATGTCGATGTTCCTTGTGCCACCCGCACATAGTTCTACGGAAATTTATGCAGCATAGTACACCTACACACCAACCAATTTTTGTTAGACATAATGCCCTATGGCCACGGTGTCAAATATGGGTGTACGCAAAACAGGCGCTTGTCCTGTGTACAGCCTTCTACTTCGTCTTTTGTGTGCTGTGTTCATTTTACTAAGCATGAAACAACTAGCCCGCCACTTTAATGTAAGATATATACATAGGTGCAGACATTGTGCGCACCCCAGCTGCCAGAAAAAGTCCTCTTTTTGCCTTGGTTGCAACCAATGCCATCAGATGAAACTTCCATGATCGGCCGGTACTTGCCTGTCGCGGGCCCGGCCTCTCGTGCTTCCCTATGGGCGGCATGCTTGTTTTTAAAGTCATTTTCCGATTGTGCTCAGAAAATGACTTGTAGAACTCGATACTTGTGCTACGTGTGTTGCTTAAACATAGCGTCATCACTGACCCAAGTTTTGTGCCTCAGCACCAGCAGAAACAGTTTTATGAATCTGTTAAAGCGGAAAGATCTCTGGTGCGGTCGGTTCACGCCAGCATCCGTCAAGGTCAAAGCAGACGCGAAGAGTGAAATGCGCATGTACAGAGGTACTATGGCAAGGAGACACTTTTTAATGCAGAATCTGTTATATGGCTGGCACCCAACCATATCCGGTTAGGTTACGGCAACGGAAGTCGACAGGCCGACTACAAACCGAACCTCTTTGAGTGCCTCCGTGTCACTTCTGGAGGGGTGGTAAGACATCACGTGTTCGGTCATGTGGCGGCACTCTGCTCCTTAAAAAGAGCGCACTCTGGGCTTCCCCCAAAAAAGGAATGCAAAAAAAAAAAAAGAAATGCAGAAAAAAAAGCAGATTCTTTAACTGCGATTGTTTGGGGTAGTTCCAAGTGTTTGGTTCTCTTTTGCCACAAGCTGGTGCCAGGGCTCTGCTCGGCACTGCCGCATTCTAATAGTTCTGTTTTCTGCATGCTCTCTCTACTACATCTCACACTCCAAGATGGCACCCACACGTAAGACATCCACGGAGCACTCCCACGCTTGCCTTAAATGACGCAGAACCGCTTCACACCGTCTAGTCTCCAAATGTGTACACTGTTTCCCCACACTAACACATCACCTTCTGTGTTACCGCTGCCTTTGCTAGGCTTGTGTGGAAAAGGGACGTCTTTTTTGTTTGTTCCTTTTTTTTTCTCCCTTGCGCCGTCTGGTCAGCAGAAACGCTGTCGGAATAGGCTGCTGGGACGTGTACCAAGAGGACTTTATGTGGTTGATCGCGTCGTAGTGTTTGCCATGCTGTGCACCCTGCCCATGGCGTAGCAGCAGCGCTCCCTTCCTCATTGCTCCGTTCTCCGCAGGTACCGTGCACGCACCAAGATGCTGGAAGAAGGTCTGAGGCCGCCCATGGCCGTGGTGCCAGACCAGGAGGACGGCTACTGCCGCAAGGATAGGCTGCCCCCCGGCCGTATGGACCCCCAGATGGTGTTCTTCTGCCGACGCGTGTACGACTTTCGACAGAAGCGCATCCTCAAGAACCCTTCCTGAGCTTCCCCCCTCCGTCCCCCCTCTGTGCATCCCCCTCCACGTTTTTGTTGGCGAGGAAGTGACGCCCTTCTCGCCCACCTTCGTTGGATAAAAGAGAGAGACAGTGTTGCCGCGACTGCAAGAACCTGCGACCCCGCCACGGCCGCTGAGAGAAGAACGCCGGAGGTGAAACGAGGCTCGAAAAATGTTGTTTCACCGTAGCTTGTCGCATCCCCCTTGCAACTGTCCATTTCATTTCTTTTTTTCTGTTGCTAAGCCTGTCTGGATTCCCTTTCTCGACTTACGAGCGTGCTCGGCCTTGTGGCTTCCATAGACTTTGTGACTGGACGATTGCGTCGTGTTTGGCCTGTCTTTCGTATAATGTTTTTTTTTTTTATTCTTTTCTTTTAAAATGTGTATGACGAGTGTGTGTGTTGCTGCCTCGAAGAAGAAAAAAAAATACTTGCGGGTTGTCTTCTTTTTTTTTTTATGGATGTCATATTTTTTGTTTTGGCGAAAATGAGAGTTTTTAATTAGGTGATTTGAGTGATTCATCAGCTATGGTCTGCTTTAGTTTGAAGGACTGTTTGTTTCTGTCTTTATTTGTCGCAACCTTATTCCTGCTCAGGGCGAGAATCGTTTTATTTGTATCCAGGCAGTGGCAGTTCTTTCTGTTCTTTGCTGTTTTTATTGTCATTGAAGAAGTGAAGTGTCTCCAGGAATTACCGCGATTGCCATGCAATCTCCAGCAGCATTTATTTGCTCTCGCGTGGCTCGCCCATAAACATGCTCTGACTTTGAGCAACGTCTGACGATGGATGCACGGTCGTCTGCTGCCCGTTTAATTGCCGTCTGTTGGCAGAAAACGCTTGTGTAGTACCTTCGAGTGGCACCTTCTAAAAGAAACTCGATCGCAATCTGTGAAATCCTTAGCAGATTGTCGTCTGCTAAGGAAAACTCTGCCTCTATACCTGCACGACCATCGTCTGCTAAGAGACTTCTCAGACCTCAGCCTCAGAAAAACTGGTACAACTTCCATGCCACGTGGCTGAGACACCACCTGCATCTCGGTCCAGATAATTTTGCTCCTTGCATTTGTATTAGTTGCTCTAGGCCATGCTACGAGCGTTGGAAGACCAAAAACAAGAGGAAGCCAAGGATCTGCCCATCCGCCGCCATAGCTGCCTAGGTTTTATCATTGACCATCAGGAAAATGGTTCATCGCTCATCACCTTTGCTTGGGAGAGGAGGGGTCATGTGCCTCTACCATCGTCTGACATGTGTGTCTCGTGGTTGGTTGACATTGAGCGTTTACTTTGATCGCGTCTCTCAGTGCCGCCGCGGTGGATGCGATGAGAGCGTGGGCGATGCCCCACTCTTGCGACCTTTTCCCTCTCTTTGACCTGCTGGAAAAGCGGAAAAACTGAACGACGAAATGGAGAGGAAGGTAATGGAGGACAGTGTGTACAAGTGAGGACCAATGTGTGTGTTTTTTTTTATTAGCTGCTGTGACGACGAAGCTGTCGACTCTTTTCCTTCCTGCTTGCCTTGCGCTGGTTTGGGCAGACACCCGCGGTTTCATGCTGAAGATATGTCAGGACCAGCGTTCCATCTAGGTTTGTTCAGCTAATTCTGTATTTTGTTTTTTAAATGTGCTAATTAACGAAAACTTTTTTATTTGTTTCTGCAATTTATTTTAAGCCGGAAGTTACCTTGCTCTTCCTTGATTCATGCTAGCCGAGTCCCCACTAAGCAAATGTTTGTCCAGGTCTACTCGCAGACACGATAAAAATACCTCGTCGATAATCTTTGTAGGGTGCTTTTCGTCTCGTCAACGAGCAACAAACGAGTTTGCCGGCAACGAAACATTTTTGCCATGTTTGTGGGGAGTGTTGGCCGAATGTTGGCCTCATTGGATTTGGCTGCTCCTCCCAATAGGAGAGTGAACACGTGGTCCTTGAGGCATGTTTTTGTTCCCTTTCCCCCTTTAGGCGAGCCTTACCACTTTTTTGTTGCTTGCAATTTTTCGTGTACATATTTTGAAAGGGGGGGAAAGTGCTTCATCTGTCGCTATGGACGTGCGACCTGCCACCTGATTTGCCGATTCATAGCTTGCCTTCCTTCTCGTGCAATTGTCAGTTTGTTTGTTGATTAATTGCCCTCCTTCCCTTGTTTCCCTACACACCATTACATACCTATAAATAAATATATATAGATTGATATATATATATATATACATATATATATATTTTACCCCGTTAGTCAGCTGCGTTAACTTAGGTAGTCGTTAGTCATATTTTCGTCCAGTGTTGTTCATGTTTTTTTTTTTCTTTTTCATCCCTATTTTTGCACAGCGAGCACTAATATATATTTTATTACGAACACACCTCCATTACATTTTTTTTTCCTTGCACATACCTTTTTTAATTGCTGTTTCTGTTGGTTTTTTTTTTTAGCGAAACATACCAACCGAAGGGTGGGTGATGCATTGAGATTTGTTTTTGCTATTTATTTGCGCAAACACCCGATTTGGCCTCCAGGTATGAATAGGAACGACAGCGACCAATGCATGTAGTCGTGTATGTATGTGTGTATGTGTATGTTGCTAATTATATCTTCGATATCTTGCGCATGTTTCTGCTAGGTGGCTGCATCAACCTGTTTTCGTTTCGTCGCTTTAGTCCCGGATCTGGTGTACCCTGGGGGGAGGAGGAATAGCGACGAAGGGGGAAGCAAATTTCACTACTTTGGCGGCACTTGGGCACGGAATAACAAACTTATCGCACATTTTTATTTAGACTGTGCCGCATCATTCGAAGTACCAAACTCGGCACGGAGTGAAATAGTACCTTAAAGAGCCTGAAAGCAAACCTTCCCCCATTGGCCATGCCAGGCAGTAGGGACTAGGTCTACCCTGGCAACGCGGCCTGAGGCAGCTGTGAGGAAACATCCCATTTTTTCTCGGTCGAGTGTCCAGTCACGGTACACGTACCTTCTGTGGCAGACATAAATTTGGATCTTGTCCAGTGGAATTGAGGAAGCAAACTAACCCCTCTTAATGGGGAATTGGGGTCACGTGGATCTTGTGGATATGTATAAAACTTGTTGAAGGGCCTTAATTACACCGACACAGCAGTGCCGCTTTTTTCTTTTTGCATGTATAAAAAAAAGCTTTTTTTTTTTACATAAATTTAGTGTCCAGGGGCTGTGTTTCTTCCAAGTGACAGATTTCGGGGCATGATGCGTTTTCACCGCATCGCCGAAATTGAGATGTTTGCTTCCTTTTTGTGGAACTTGCCATCGCTGCACTCTGGGTCAGTTCCAAAACACTTTTTTCCATTTCTTTCGTCTGTCAGTTTCTTTTTTTTGGTCAGGCAGTTGAAGTTGATTATTTAAAAGTACCGAGTCCTTTGGATGCCTTTTTGATTCGCCCTCATGCCCCCACTGCAGGTCTCTGGAGAGTGCCCAATCTGTGATAGGTAGCAGTGCATAAATGACACGGTGGAAGCTTTGGGAGGCCTCGATGCTTCCGCGTCTCCTTCGGTCGGTTGCAACGGGACAAAGTTAGTCGGGAAGAGGTGTGTACGGCACGATCACTATCTATACTGTCTCCTTGTTTTCTCGGAACTCTGTATTCATCCATGTGCCTCAGCAATCGACTCCTTTTGAGATACGGCTGGTGGGTGGGCGGGCTCGTTGTTCCCTTCTGTTTGTGCGTTTGCTGCGATACCCAACTTTGGTTTTTTGTGGATTTCTTTTCTAGTGTGTGTCTCCGTTTTTCCTCTAGAAAGAAAGAAAGTGCATTTGATAAAGAGAATAATAAAGTGAATTGAAAAGTGTCTATTTTTGCGTGCTTTTTTTACCGTTTTGGTTGACTTCGAGTTCCATAGGTCAGTGGTTCTCAACCATTGATGTTTCGCGGATCCCTTCTGGATCGATGGAGTTGAGGAGGACCCTGTTCGTGATGAGGGGAAGGAATTTCGATAAATGGATATAACTAAGGGCTAGATGAAGTAGGGTGATTTCAGATAAGATCGACCAAAGGGTGGCTGATTGACATTTTTAAATCGACTGATGTTTTTATATGCCCTTGTCTGGTGTCTGGTGTAAACAAATCCACCCTTAATTTTGACAAAAAAAAAATTTAGGGACCGGAAACAGGATTTGGGGGCGTGTTTATTTATTTATACAAATTGCCAAACATGTCTGCTCGAACAACAAACGGCAAAATTTGGAGGCCTGTATCATGAAATCATTATTTATTTATTTATTTATTTACATACCCTCAAGGCCCAGGGGGCGTTACAGAGGGGAGTGAGTGAAAAAACAACAACAAACAGTAATAGAAGACATGGAATAGGTCACGGGTCACTTTCGCAAAACTAATTAGTAACAGCACTTTTAAACACATCTAACGAGGGTAATAATATTAATGACGCCGGAAGGTGGTTCCACTCTGGTGATGTCCTAGGAATGAAAGATTCGTGATAGGCTGAGGTTCGAGAATGAGGAATGCCGACTTTGTACTGATGATCAATGCGTGGAGAAACGTAAGGTGGGATGAGGAAGAGCTTTTCTTTAAGAATGGGGTTAGAATTATATATTTTATAGAAAAGACATAGACGAGAACACTTACGGCGCAAAGAAAGCAGTGGCAAGGAGAGAAGAGATTTCATGGATGATACACTAGCTGTACGGTGATAATTGTTAAGTATGAAACGAGCGCCGCGGTTCTGAACTGACTCGAGATGAGAAGTGAGCGTCGTCTGACCAGGATCCCAGATTGAAGCTGCATACTCTAATTTTGAGCGAACCAAAGATTTGAATAATATTAGTTTGAGAGAAACTGGTGCTAGAGAAAAGTTACGTTTTAGGTAGCCTAACATAGAATTGGCATTAGCAATGATGTGGTTAATATGAATATGCCAGGAGAGGTTAGAAGTAATATGCACACCGAGGTATTTATATGAGGTCACACATTCTAAAGAAACGTTATCAAGATGATAGATAAAAGGCGTAGTGTTACGGCGAGACACTTTCATTGTTTTACATTTTTTAGTATTAAGTGTCATGGACCGCAGCTTGCACCAATCAAGAACAGCATTTAAGTCGTTTTGAAGAAGGAGAGAGTCAGAATCATTAGTAATCTTACGATAAATAACGCAGTCATCCGCGAATAAACTAAGCGATGATGAGACACACAACGGCAAGTCATTGATGTATATGAGGAATAACAAAGGACCGAGAACGGAGCCTTGAGGGACGCCAGAAGTAACAGAACATGAACAAACTGCGAACGATTTGTAAGAAAACACTCAATCCAAGTTAGTATCTGAGGGTCGAGGTTGAGTTTGCTAAGCTTGAAGAGTAGTAGTTGGTGAGAAACTTTATCAAATGCTTTGCTGAAATCAAGAAAAATACAGTCAACCTGGGATCCATGATCAAGTAATAAAAATAAATCGTTAGTAAAGACGAGAAGTTGTGTTTCGCAAGAAAGAAATTTACGAAAGCCATGCTGTGAGGACGAGAAAAAAGAGTTGGATTCGAGATATTTAACAAGATGTGAATAAATAATATGCTCTAACATTTTACAAGGAGTACTGGTTATGGAAATGGGTCTATAATTGTCGGGGCAGTGTTTGTCGCCTGATTTATGAAGTGGAACCACCTTGCCAGTTTTCCAATCTTCAGGAAGGACACCAGTAAGAATAGATTGCTCAAAAATCTTAGTAAGAAACATTGCACTGTAAATTTTAGTATGCTTTAGAAACTTACGTGTTAATATTATCAATACCACATGATGAAGACACTTTGAGGTTGTCAATCAGCTTAACAATGCCATCAAAATCAAACACAAGCGGGTCCATTGGAAAGAAATCATGATTAGGGTAAGTAACAATAGAACAGTTTACATCTCTAGAAAACGATTGAACAAACACCTCATTAAGGATTTTCGCAGAGTCATCGTCAGACATAACAATGCCATCAGAGTCATAAAGCAAAATAGCCTTGTCTTTCTTGCCATTAATAACACTCCAAAACATTTTGACACTAGTTGATAACAGACGGGGCAAGGTTTGGCTGAAGAAAGTTTGTTTGGCGTCCTTAATTGCATTTTTGTATAAATTTTCTGCGTTGTGGTAAACCGTCCAGCTCTCAACAGTGTCTGCACGCTTAGCAGTGCGGAACAGGCGTTTCTTTTTATTTGAAAGTCTTTTCAAGGCATTATTAAACCATGGGGACGTGGAGCTATTAGTAAGAAAGCGACGTGGGACGAAAGAATTGATAAGGGAATTGACTTTATTTTTGAACATTGTCCAATTAACCTCGACAGAGCGTTCGGAAAAATTGGATAGGAAAAAGTCAAGAAATTGCGCTAACTCGCGGTTTATACCCTCAAAATCAGCTTTGCCATAATCAAGAAAAGAGTTATTCTTCGCTTTTGCAAAGGCAGATACAGGAGCGCTTAGGTGAAAGTGAAGTAAACAGTGATCGCTGATGGCAGGTAGATACGTAAGAGAGGATGCAAGATCAGGCGCGGTAGAAAGAATAAGGTCCAGCACGTTCTCAGAAGTTGCCGTAACACGAGTCGGCCTAGTAACTATCTGCGTTAACGAAAAATCGGAGCAGAGACTTAAAAACTCGGAACACGCAGCAGAATTTGAAGATATGGTAGGATATAGACCAGACCAGTCAATGCCGGGGAGATTAAAATCGCCCAAAAGAAACAAAGGCAAGGCAGGAAACCTTGTACGAATTGTATTCAGAGCATCGTGTAAATCTATAAAAAAGTTTGCCGTGTCATTGGGAGGACGGTAGCACGCGCACAAAATAACCTGTTTATGGCTAAAACGCAAGCGCACGCCAATAAACTCAAGAGATGTAACAATGTTAATAAGACAAGACTCAATGCAATCATTTACCGCGATTATGACACCACCACCACGCCTAGATAGCCTATCGCATCGATAAAAAGAGAAACGCTTGTCGCAACAAAAAATTTCGCTGTCGCGTACAACACTAGATAGCCAAGTTTCAGTGAGTACAACAATGTCGGCGAGTGAAGAATCGATGGCTGAAGACAAGTAATCACGATTGCGAAGAACACTTCGAATGTTGGTGAAAAGCACTGAAAGATAAGGACTAGGATTGTTCCGTATCAGGTTATGTTATTGTGATGACGTTGACAAATCAACCACAGGGTCAGCATTAACACGAATGGAACTCGTGCTCGGCGTGATAAAATCGCGGACCTCACAAACGGCATCGCTGGCCGCGCAGTAAGAAAAACATTTGTCATCAAAAAACACTTTGTTATAGCGTAGACTAAAAGACTGTGTGTGAGCCTTAGCAAATTCGAGCAGCTTTCTTCTAGCAAGACGAGTGGCAGGGGAAAAATCCTCTGCGACGGAAGTGGCACTACCGCGCAGTTTGCCTCTGGAGGAAAAAACATGGTCTTTCGTTTTGAATAATGAGAATTTCACTAAAATTGACCGACATTTACTGGGGTTAAAAACACGACCGAGCCTATGTGCACGGATGATACCCTCAGGGGGAACGATGATCTTCATTTCGTTTGCAATGATGTCACGCACTTTGCTTTCAGATACAGCCCAGGTCTCAGAGTTTGAGTCGGGAACACCGTAAAATATTAGATTATCTCTTCGAGACCTGTCCTCAAATTCATCAAGACATATAATATTCAGGTAGTATTGTAATTATATAGCTATTATTTAAAAAAATAAATAAGGTATCTGAGTGATATGATACAACGAAAAGTTGCGATGCAAATAAAAAGAAAACAACACCTTCGATTTTTTTTTTAAAGTTTGGGTACCTGTCATACTCTATTTCGGCATTCATTTCTATTAAAAACATGTTGCATTATTTTATTGAGAAAGAAGACTTTACTTCAAGTACTGTTTATATGTACTTTACGCAACACTGTAAACAAGCAAACACTGTCTAAAAAAAAAGTGAAAGCTGCTTACAACTCCCTGTAACGCCGAATTAGAGCGCAGCTCTTGAGGAGGAGGAGGGAAGGGCACTGGGGGGGGGTTAAACTAACCAGGGGGGGTCACGTGACCCCCAATGCCGATGATGTCATGATGTCATCACTGACGTCACTGATGACGTCATCAGTGACGATGACGATGCGGGTACCGATGACGATGTGGATGCCGGTGACGACATCGGTGACGTCACTGATGACGTCATCAGTGATGATGACAATGACGATGCGGATGTCGGTAACGTCATCAGTGATGATGACGATGCGGATGCCGGTGACGTCATCAGTGATGATGACGATGTGGATGCCGGTGACGTCATCAGTGATGACGATGTGGATGCCGGTGACGTCATCAGTGATGATGACGTCATCAGTGATAATGACGATGTGGATGCCGGTGGCGTCATCAGTGACGATGACGTCATTGGGGGGTCACGCGACATCGGCGGGGGTCACGTGACCTCAGGGGAGTCACGTGACTTCGGGGGGTCACGTGACCCCGGTGGGGGGCTCGCGCGGTGCATTATGGGACATTTCCCATGATGCACCGGGGTCACGTGACCTCGGGGGGGTCACGTGCCCCCCCACGAGGTCACGTGACCCCGGTGGGGGGCTCGCGCGGTGCATTATGGGACATTTCCCATGATGCACCGCGCGGTTACGCCGACGGCGACGCCGACGCCGCTCAAGCCGGAAACGGGCCCCTAAGAGCTGCGCTCTAAATCAATCTCAGACAGTGCTAAACCTCGAAGAACAAATAAAACATTCGCAGTACATCACTGACTACACAAACCAGAAAGTAAAAAAACAATTAGGCACGCAAAAGCAGA